CAATGAAAAAGAAATAGTCTTGTATTTGGCATTTCCAGGCTGTGCTGAGGGGAAAAGAGCTCAAAGGAAGGAAGTGATCATGTTGTTGCTTGCTGTCAGGTAACATTTTGTCATCATTCCTGTTCTTTTGCATTATCTATTCTTTCTCTTGTTAATCCTCCCCCGAAGATATTTTATCATTGATTTTTAGAGCAAGAAACATGGATGTGAGAGAGAGACACACACTAGTTTCCTCCTGAATTCACCCTGACCTGGGCTGGGGTATCGAACTTGCAACCCAGGTACATGCCCTTGACTGGAAATTGAATCCACAACTCAACTTCTAAACATTTAGCCACACCTGCAAATGTTACTGATTCTTGAGTTGACTTTCTGTTGGGTAAATAAATCTGAGTCATTTCAGCTAATGTCAAAATGAGGACGGAGCCCATGAATTCGACTCCGTTACACACTGAGTCTGTGACATATGAATGAAGCTGAGCCTTCCTGTGGTAAATCTTGTTAGTAATGAATAACATCCTTCTAATTAAATTTCACTTTATTTGTACCATTCTGGGTGTCTCAAACATTTTACCATAAGCATTTTTGGCTTTCTAGTCACTGAGATATAATTTATGAATAAGCAAATATTACTTACCTAAGGTAGGTGTAAAGGCAGTTACAATTATAGAAGTGAAACATTCTAAACGGGACACAGGGATACAGCCCAGGGGCCGAATCCCGTCGCCTGCCTCATAGCTTTTAAGTGAAGTTATTGGAACACAGCCGTGCCCATTCGTTTACTTACATATTAATTAGGGATGCTTTTCTACTACAAAGGCAACCAGAGCTGAGCAGTGGCCACTGAGAATGCTTTTCTACTACAAAGGCAACCAGAGCTGAGCAGTGGCCACTGAGAATGTGTAATCCACACAAACCAAACACATTTCCTCCCGGACCTTCACAGAAACAATTTACCATTGACCCTGGCTTAGACCACAGCCTGGTATAACTGCACCTGTTACTGATTTCTGTCAATTAGCTCTTGTTCTAAAACAATCCAGAACATCTAAGTTCATTATTGCTATTTAGGAAATTCCTTGTATAACATGCACATTTTTATGGGCTCTACATTAACCGAGCATTTTTGCATAATGCAGAATTTGCTGGTATATTTCTTTATCTATGGGTGAAAAAATTTGGTGTATCATTTTGTAATTAAAGAGTAGTCATTTTGCACAAGGGGAATAAAAATATTTTACTTTTGAATTAATGATTTATAGAGTCTAGTGAAGCTTTGTAGGTAATTTGAGTTATGAGTAGAAGATGAAAGTCTTTTCACCAATAGTCAACAATCAAGACTTACTCATATTAGATAAGGTATCACACACAGACACTATCCATTCCCTCAGAGCTGCTGTTTACAAGAACATTAAACAGCGCTTTTGTTTCATTTGAAATAATTAATGTAAGGGATTGTATTCAAGCAATGTAAGGGATTGTAGAGAGTATATATAGTATATTTGGAAAGGCGTGGGCAATTGCTGTCTACTGCACAAAGAGAGAGAAGCATATTTCCTTTTATTTGAGACTCATTTATAAAAAAAAAAAAAAAAAAAAAAAAAAAAAAAAAAAAGTGAATTAGGAGTTGATGAATGAAGCTAGCCTGACCAGAGACCTTCTTAAACCCATGGCTTCCTCCTATTATTCCTGAAAACAGCTTTTCAAAATAGTTCCCATAAAACTTTGCATCATAATCAATAAGGAACTGTCATAATTTTATGGATTCTACATTAACATTATCAATAACCTCTTCTTTATATTTGGTACTTTATATAAATGGAACTGGATAGTAAGTATACTTTTACTTAAACATTTTGGTTAGGAGATTCAAAGTCACTTTTGGATGCAGTTGTAGAGTGTAATTTATTCTACTGTGTGTATGTTGCATTCTAATGTTGGTCAGCAAGAGAGTATTAGGGCATAGTGTCCAATTTTGGCTGTTATGAATAGTGCTGCTCTTAAATTCTAAAATTTATGTCTTTATTGAACATCATTAGCCATAGAACTTGCAACATAAACCATAAATAGTATGGCACTATATTTAATAGATTCAGAAACAATGATACTAAACCATGTTTGAAGACTGTGTGTGCAAATTAGTAGGAGAAAAGCCGCAGATTAAGTATATTGGGAAAGAGCTGGGAAAATTGCATCATGTAGGGAGAAATCCAGTGGTATTGATGGTAACTTCCTGGTTTTTAAATTGGCTGGATTTCAGCTGTTCACTGTATTGTTTTGCTTGGTAACATACATATATGGAATTTAAGAGAAAACAGGATTGGATGTGTTGTCTCCTAGTGTTCTGTTTCTTATGCAAAGCTTTCATGCCAGGCATTACTGAGATCTCCTGATCAAAGCAGATTCTCCAGTGACTCAGCAAAACTGGATCACCTTCAGCAGTTTTGAAACCTCTTGTCAACTTGGCCTCTTAATCTTGAATACACATGTCCTAATCCACCCTGCACATTGTGGAAACTTTCTTTTGTTTTTCACTTTTTTTTTTTTTTGAGTAGTGATAGACTTGTTCCCACTGGTTAAACGCCTGAGCCTTCTTGACTGCCCCATAAATAATGGGAGGGAGCATCTTCCCACTCTCTGGAATAATACACTGAGAAATAACACAACTACACGCATGCATTTCCGCCTAGACCCTCGGGAGCAGTGTCACACCCCAGGAAGGACAGTGCTCCGTCTTTCCCTGTTGATCTAAGCAAGAAAGCATGCAGATGGTTCCACTGATGTTAGCAGAAAAGCTCATCTTCAAAGAAAGGCCCAAGAAATAGCTCTGTAGCCTGTTGGGTCTGATCAAATAACGGAAAGGGAACCCTTCCCTGGGAGACTGATCTTTAGACCACCTGACAATACACGTTCCCTTTTGCTTAGACCACATTCCACCTGCTAAGACCACTAATTCTACCCTCCAGACTTTCCCAGGATCTGGACCAGCCCAGAGAGTTCTCTGCCAAAAAGGCCCAACCAGAGTGCTTAAGCCTCTGCTTCCGCATCCCTATGCTTCCCCATCCCTATGTGCTGGCGCCATCTGGCATGCTGATGACCTAATACAGTGGTCGGCAAACTCCTTAGTCAACAGAGGCAAATATCAACAGTAAAATGATTGAAATTTCTTTTGAGAGCCACATTTTTTTAAACTTCAAGTTCTCCTAATGCCACTTCTTCAAAACAGACTTGTTCAGGCCATGGCATTTTGTGGAAGAGCCACATGTGGCTCACAAGCCACCGTTTGTCGACCACTGACCTAATCCATTTATAATCCCTTACCATGTCTGGCCTCATACGTTCCTCCTTTAGAGACTCTAGCAGCCCTGGTACACTTTCCATCAAACCAAACTTGAAGCCTACTACTCTCTTGGTTTCTCGGGAGTGAGTTCAAATTTTCAAGCTAGTGTAGGTTAAGAATGAATGCAATATTGAAAAATAACTGATGAAGAAAGGCATACAAATATTTCTCAGGTTTTTTCATTTTCTTTAGCAAGAGAACTAGCTTCAACTTGCAGGAAGTTCCCTGGCAAATCCTCACCGACAGAACTGAACTGAAGAGAATGCATCTGCGGGGCCTCAAAGCGTTTCTGAATTCCTTGGGGGAACTTGCAGCCACCTTGGCTCCCTCTAGCATTTCATTTCTGAAGCTTAATAGTTCTTCCTTAAAGTTATCAAACCTTTTCCCATTCTACTTCATTATTCTAACAATCATTTTTCTCCCATTATGTAGGCGTGTTTAGATTCTAATAAGACTATTTTATTTTTCAAATGCTTTCTTTCCTCAAGTTGGAAATGAAGATGGAAAATGTTGATGTGTATAATTTCAGTGCATCCAGAAATGAATCCTTTGGGGTTATGGTATGGAAGTGAGTGCAGTCATAATTGAAAATGAGTTTGAAAGCTCTCAACGAATCCTCATTTTCTTTTGAAAATGTTCACTGCAGTGGTTGGGTATGCCTGATGACCTTCCCCTCTCAAAAAGTTTGTCTTGGATATCAATATGTTTTTATAGCTCTGTTAATTTACATATACATTCCATTTCCACCCCAGCCCAAACTCTGCACCCCACATACGGTAACACTGTCTGCTTCCGGTCTCCTAGCTTCATTTCTGTCCCCAAAAGCAGAGTAAGCATTTCTGTGCTTGAGCAAATAGAGACCTCGCTACTTAAAAATCTTTATTTTGCACATTTCCTATATTCCTTTCATCTCGTTCTCCCACATACATCTTGAGAAGAAATAACGCATCTCACGGATTCAACTTTAAGTACTGCCTTTGCCAATAAGACTTGGAAAACAACAAAATACTCTCAAACTGCGGGATATTTTATAGTCATCCATTTGCTCATTCCCATCATCCCCAAGGGGATCAAGCACATGTTATTATTCCATTAAGGAAGTGAAGACTCTCCGAGCCAAGCAATTCTCTTTAGTTCCCTCCCTCCCATTTCCATGTTCTAGAACTGTCTCTGCATACGCTGGTCTCAAACTGTTGTCATCCATACCTTGTGGCCTGCAGGAGATCCTTAAGGCAAACTCACCACAGGGACCAACAGGGAAGCCGTGGAGATAGGGCTGTAGGTCTGCAATGCTGCTCCACCGTGAGTTGTACCCAGTTCTTGTGTCTCCAATTATACCTGCGGGGAAAAGACTCTGTGTTAACAATGGCTGAAAGTAACTCTCCTAGTGAAAGTTTCTTTACCCATGTAGCACTTCTGGTATCCCCCCTCCCCTTCCCCCCACCAACTAGCCAAATCAACCCAAAACAAAACCACCACAGATAAAAATAAAGTCAGAGCAACACTTAACACAGAGACATTTTCGAATATAATGTAATGTAGAAGAGAAAACTTTTTAGATGATTTGAATTTTTATGAGTTTTTAAAAATGTGTTACCTTTATTGTTCAGTGTGTTACAGATGTTCTCCCTGTTTTCCCTTCTTGCCCCGCTCCACCCAGCTCCTGCCCCACCGAAGCCCAGAGAGGTCTGCTCTGCAGATGCTCAAGGAAAGGTTCTTCCTGGATCAGCAAAGCTTGAGAAAAACCACACACTGTGTCTGATACTGCGAGAATCCCCATGTATGTTAGCAGATTAAAGAATCTTGTAAGTCCTGCAAAGTACATTTATCTTTTTAAGTCAAGTCTTTCCTAGTTGTATTGGGACCATGAGACCACTCCCTCACCAAACATTTATTAACAGCTGAGCAAACTATTAGCACACTTGGCTTTTATAAATAAATGGTTTTGAAAGTCTTTATCAATTTAGAGTGTTATAATTTATGTTAATATAGAAATTACCAAAACTTATGCTTGGTTTTACGCTTTAAAAAGAGGAAGGGAGAGGAATAGAGAGAACAACCGCTGAGAAAAATCCATCAGCTGCCTCCTGCACACTCCCGTTTGGGTATGTGCCTACACCAAGGTACATGCCCTTGATCGAAATTGAACCTGGGACCTTTCAGTCCACAGGCTGATGCTCTGTCCACTGAGCCAAACCAGTTAGAACAGTTTTAAGCTTTAAAGAGCACATTTTTATTCTATGAGTAGCACAAAAATATTTCTGTAAGATAAAAGGCGTCATAGAAAATAACAATTAAACATGAACGTAAACACACTGGTTCCCTTTAACTGTGCCGCTTTGTTTTTAGGAACAAGTGCACTGTTTCTTACTCTTGTAGCACAAGTTAAACTAAAGCAAGAAGTAGCACAAGTTAAACTAAAGCAAGAAGCAGCCCCTCACGGTGGGGGTTGGGTGGGAGGGACAAATCATACTAGGGAAGTAGAATTTTAAATCTGCAAATGGCTACTGCCTTTCTATATTTGTGCAAAAAGAACTTGGTATTAAGCTCAATACGCCCCAAGTTAATTTACTTGAAGTACAATTATTCTGAATTTGGAATGGTTTAACGTGCTAAAGGAGTCTGGCGAAATTAACTTTTGCAATATCAATGAAAAGATAACACATAAATCAAATTAATATCGTGGAAGCGACAGATGCTCAGTGAATCTGTATTTTTTCCCTTTGTGATTATTTAATATCCTAATGAAAAAGCTCTCCTATATACTTGCAGAAACATTTATAAAGCCGCACTGGGTCCAAGGAGCCTTTCCCGGCCAGCCTGCAGGAGTGGAAGGATCTCTGCGGGCAGCTGCTTTGAAAGTTACTTCTTTAAGGACAAGAACAAGATGTTGCTTTTCATTTCTTTTAAAACGCTTGTTCGTACCTGGCTCAGTGGCTGAGCATTAAGCACATGCCTGGGTTGTGGGCTCGATCCCCAATAGGGGGCAGCCAATCAATGATTCTATCTCAGCATTGATGTTTCCATCTCTCTCCCTTTCTCTCTGAAATCAATAAAAAATACATTAAAAAAATAAAATGCTTGTTCAATCAGAGTTCTTTCTAAGTCTTAGAATTCTTCATCACCTCTTCTGACTTCAGGAAAAAATGTGCAATAAATATAAGTCTAGAGTCCAGTGGTCGGCAAACTCAGTCAACAGAGCCAAATATGAACAGTACAACGATTGACATTTCTTTTGAGAGTCAAATTTTTTAAACTTAAACTTCTCCTAAAGCCACTTCTTCAAAATAGACTCTCCCAGGCCTTGGTATTTTGTGGAAGAGCCACACTCAAGGGGCCAAAGAGCCACATTTGGCTCACAAGCCGCAGTTTGCAGACCTCAGGTCTAGATCAATACGTTATTAGCACCCTGTTAACAATTCCATATGCCTTTTACACTTTCCAACAAACCAAACAACAATCCATTTCTCAGATGAGCAAATGCTGAGACAGGTCACTGAGCCAATAAGTGTTTGACTTGGACACAAGTGCTTCACTTGGACATAAACACAAACTTATCTCCTGGAAGCAGGGAACAGACTGTGAATCTCAGAGGGAAGGGGGGTGGGGGAGGAAAGAGATCAAAGAGCTTGTATGCCTCTGTGCATAACCAGGGACACAGACAAGGTAGTAAGGGCAGAGGTGGGTTAAAAGGAGTTGGAGGGGTAGGGGTGGGGTGGGGATGGAGCAGGGAGTGACATAAGTAACACCTTCAACAATAAAGATCTAAAAGAATAAAATAAAAACCATGCTGTTTTCCACCATATCACACATGTAAATTTCTCATTTTTTAAAAGTGTAGTTCCACATCTCTAGAAAGACAGTGTTTCCAAGAACACTTGACATATCCTGTTCTCCTGCCAGAGGAGTAACATGGGGGCCCTTCACTCCACTCCTATAAGCTCCCTCCGCACACTCTTCCACAGGACACCCTTCCTTAGAAGTCAGTTCCGCTGGAACCCAATTCCTCCCTGAAACTGGATCAGCAACTAGAGCTTATTTCACTGGGATACAAGCCTCAGGCTACCTCTGGAAGAAACCCATTGTCATTGGGGCCATGTGAGGCCCTAAGAAACAGGCTGAGCGATGCCACCTGGGCTCCATTGTCCATAGTTACTAATTGTTTCTGAGCACTGAACCCAATAGAATGAAGGATGCTGGGCATAAATATAGGACCGGAACAAGTGAACATGAAAATCACCACATGGCACAAGGCTCACCTGATACCCTAAGACAGTGGTCGGCAAACTCATTAGTCAACAGAGCCAAATATCAACAGGAAAACGATTGAAATTTCTTTTAAGAGCCAATTTTTTTAAAACGGAAACTTCTTCTAACACCACTTCTTCAAAATAGACTCACCCAGGCCATGGTATTTTGGGGAAGAGCCACACTCAAGGGGCCGAAGAGCCGCATGTGGCTCGCAAGCCGCGGTTTGCCGACCACGGCCCTAAGAGGGTCTGCCAAGGCAATGGGGACATTAAAAACAACAAAACAAAACCCCGGGCCCCTCAGACATTGTTTCCTTGACTGCACAGTCAGCATGCATAGGCGTGTTCCCATTGTGAGCCTATGTTATCTTTTTTCTTCCTGAGCCTGCACGATATTATGATAAATTGAGATGTTCCCATCTTTTGCTAGGCTAGCCTAACACATATTTCTGGTTCCTTTAAAAAACAGCAAACCAACAGCTGAGAACAATACGGTATTGTACTTTGATTCTCTAGGGAGGGAATATAAAGCACTCTCTTTCGTAATGAATAGATGAATGATAATGGACTCCTCAATGGGACACTGTTTCAAGATCTATTTTATCTCTGCGCTTGGGGTTTTCTTTGTGCCTCAGCAGGTTGATCCCACTAGGGGCCAGGGCAGGGGCTGGGCTTGCCTAAGAGCAGAGCTCAGAACCATGACACAGTGCTCAGCCTAGATGAAACACACAGGAATGGACCTACAATAAATCATTACCTACCCCTTTAAAATCATCCAGAGCAATACCATTTCTCTATTTATTCTCATGGTCAGGGTTTCAAAGTCCAGATCATATTGAAAAAGTCTTATATTTTCTCCATGGTGTCCAACTGCGAATCAATGTGGGGTTTTTTTAGCCAAAACTGCTCACGCTTACTGAACACACATTTTAATCTAGACTAAAATAGGTAATTAAGCTAAAAGAAAACACATTTTTTAAAAAATCAATAAGGTGGCTAAAGTTCAGGCTACAGAGATGCCAGACTTTGCCTCAAATATTGGATTCTTTTTCTTCTTAATGATATGAACCAAACTCAGTCTGCCCCTCTCCCCACCCCGGCACCCCCAAGAAATCTCAGTCTTCTTAGCTGCAAATTGAAAACCATGAGAGTTGTTTGGGACTTTGATGGGCTTCATACCTAGCACCTGTCTTCCCCACCCAAATTTTGAGAAAATATTAAGAAGTGGCCGATGGAGTCCAAATCATCCTCTGGACTAAAGATGGATCTTAAGGAAGAGGGTGTAGCTTAGAGTCAGAGCCAGGTGGACCTACTCAGAGAATCTCAGGATACAACGTATAACCATGCTGTACGTGTCAGACTCAGATGGCGCCTGGGAAGCAAAGGCCCCCAAGGTTAGATCTGGGGTGTGGGGGGCTTCACTGCCTGGGGGCCAGAGAAGAGAAAGAATAAAAGGAAAGAGTAGAAACTGCAGCCATAGGCCTAATTCATTGTCCTCAAGTTATTGACCCAATAAATCGTTTCCTTTCTTCCGATAGAAGAGAGATTACAGGTTGCAAAGGGTCAGGCATGTCCATATCAGGGGCACCATCAGAAGCCAGTTCTTTCCAGAAACAAAGAGGCATGAAGGCCTCCCATGGGTTAGATGTGGGTCCCAGGCAGAGCCAATGAGAACTACCTAGTCCAGTGGTCGGCAAACTCATCAGCCAACAGAGCCAAATATCAACATGCAATGACTGAAATTTCTTTTGAGAGTCACATTCTTTGAACTTAAACTTCTTCTAATGCTACTTCTTCAAAATAGACTCTCCCAGGCCATAGTATTTTGTGGAAGAGCCACACTCAAGGGGCCAAAGAGCCGCAGTTTGCCAACCACGGGCCTAGTCCAAGAGAGTACCAGTCAGGGATGGTGCAGAGGGAAGGCTGGGTGGGGAGGAACCTGAAGGAGCACGGGGCACAGAACCCTGAGTGGTGACTAGTGGAAGTTTCACATGGATGGTGGTTTCACTCCCGTGGCGGGTTGGATCAAGAGTGGGCAAAAACCATGCACCCTACATAGCAACTCGAACCTCATACCTCTGCCATGAGGATTCACGTGGTAATGCATATCAAAGGCTCAGCACAGTGGGCTCAGCACCATCCATGGAACATGTAGGTGTCAGAATGACCTTGCTTCCCACGATCGCACATGCCCGGCTTCACTCCTTGCCCGTTTGCATAGAAGCAACCGTGTCTGCTCTAGTGTGATACATGTATTCCCCCAAATCGCCCGTCTGTGACATCAGGCAAAATGATGCACAAAGGGTGGGGCATATGCCCCTTAGCCCACAGTCTTAATGATCAAAAACAAGCCTCTATATTCTTGGCCGTTTAGGTGTGTTAGGTGAAGAGTATGTCATTACAAACGTCATCAACGACATCTTCAAAAATGATTGGAACCGAAGAAACATGGTAAATGGTTATGAAATACTACAATCAATATGGCACCTGCTGCTGCTTAGGGAAGGGGGAGGGCTGTGTGTGAGTTACTGTGGGGAAGAGGGCTCTCTGAGCTGAAACAGAAAGTGCCAGCAGGTGTGGAGGGGTGTGGCTCCCCTCCAGGTGAGTTGAGGTGTTGGTGGGAATTTCCTACCCCCAGAGGGCTCCCTTCATCAGTGTGTGACCCTCCTGTTCCCCGCTGATGAAAAGCACATAAGTTGCTGAAACCTGTTTGGCTCAGTGGATAGAGCATCGGCCTGTAGACGGAAAGGTCCCAGATTCGATCCCTGTCAAGGGCATGTACCTTGGTTGCGGGCACATCCCAAGTAGGGGGTGTGCAAGAGGCAGCTGATCGATGATTCTCTCTCATCGATGTTTCTAACTTTCTATCCCTCTCTCTTCCTCTGTAAAAAAGAAATTAATAAAATATATTTTTTTTAAAAAAGAAAAGCATATAAGTAAATGCAAAATGTGTGTTCTCCTCACACTGGTCCTCACATCCCAGTGATATGAGAACAGATTTACCTTTTCAAAACAAGGAAAACTGACCATAAGGACTTACAAACCAGGGGCCACGCGTCTGGCCTGCCCTGACCTGGGGTGACATATGGGAATGTGATCGCTCAAGTGCAATGGCTCAACCTTGGGTTTTGGCCACGGTGTTGGCCCAAAGAAGCATACAACCAGGAAGAGAATTCTAAAGGCCCTTGTTAGGAGAGCCGTGGCCTCCTGGGAGGTTGCTCAACTCTCTGGCTGGCTGGTCTGGGAGGCACTGATGACACCTGACGCTTGGGTGTGAGGTTTAAAGCAAGAAGAGGAAGGAATGAGGAGAAAAACATGGAGCTGACCAATTCTTAGAAATGACAAAGGAGCTATGCCTCACCCACAGTATCATGCGATGGATTTGAAAGGTAACTTTTTTTTTTTTTGCAATAAACAAAGACCTTTGATCCTGGAAAAAGATCAATATGCTTACTAAATCTATTAGTTAAAGCCACCAATCAAACACTAATTTCTCTTATTCCAAGACTGATAGAGAAGAAATTTTGACTTTTCTTTTTTTGGGGGGAGAGGGGGTGGGGTGTGACGGTGGTGAGAAATAACACATCCAACCTTCCAAGAATATAAAGGCTTGTTTTTGATGATTAAAATTTTGAAAAATATTGTAACATACATAAGTTAGATGTAAAAGCAAATTATCAGTCACTCAAATCACCCGCCAAGAAAAACCTTA